GCCCTCCGTGCGTGCAAATTCAGCGTTTCGCTATCTGCACATGTCATGGCTCCAATTCAGGCGCTGCGCCTTATCTTAATGATACACTTCCACCGAGGAAACCAGGCGGGTGCAAGGCGGCCTCTCCGGGGAGCGGCGTGGGTTGGCCTGGTGTGCCCCCAAAGGAAAGCGGGGACCGGGGCCGTGAGCCACCGGGGCCGTGAGCCACCGAGGCCCCTCTCCTCCAAGCTGGCGTCCGTCCCTCACGGGTGAGGCGGCACGTGGGGCGGCTACTAACCTTATGTAAAACCCTAAATCACTCTCTCCGTGCTGCTGCTGCCTCTATTGAAAACATTACGAGCGGCGCATCTGGAAACCAGTAAATCTGTCCAGAAACCGTCTTTCCAGTGAAAAAACTCCTTTTGAATGATAGCGCGGTATCTAATCTCCGCGGATTTTTGTTTCCTCGCAGCGATTTTTGCGGACTTCATTAGGGAAAGCTAACCGTTCTGGAGAGAGGAGGGTCAACACGCCGTTTCATTAATATACATTTGTTCCAGACGTGGAGTTTTGCACAAAAGGCCTCTCTGAGGGGAGAAAAAAGTGTTGGGAACAAGGCTTTCCTGCCGTTTCAGTTCTTAAACCTCTCGGAACGTGTGCGAAGTATTGTGTCGAAGGCCCAATCTGGGCTTCTTCCCCATTAAATGCCGAAGTGATCATTTGCATATTTTGTAGCCTGACAAAGGAAATGAGTTTGCTGGGGAAGCATGGTGGGTGGGTGGGTGGGTGGGTGAGCGTAAAAGGAGTATCGTGCCTCCCCGCTTAAAGGCTTCTATTTTTGTGAGAGAGGAAGAGCTAAGGGATATCCTGTGCATTATAAGGCTCCCCCTACTTATTAACCCAGCATTTAGCACAGGATGCAGGCTGAAGCTCAGTCAAAAGAAACGACTCAACCTCCGAAGAGCAATTAAAATCTTGCACTGGAATAAATCATGCGCCGCGATAATCCTGTTAATAAAACGCAGCTTGTCCTGACACTTTGCTCATGCAGCAAACTAGAATTTAATGCCAGCGGAGGTGGCGTTAGGCAAGGTAGAGGGGAGGAAAAGCCTTCCCCTCTCTGCCACTGGACGTGAAAATGCGGTTACCTTTCACCTGCCTGTCCGGCTGCACACGGCGCCGATCCTCTTGGACTGCTAATACTTCTCCAGCGAGCCCGCTAATGATTTATTTCCCTGGAGTGAGCAGGCATCATTGAATTACTGAAAGCACTCGCAGCAGCGGCAGCAGCAGCAGCAGCAGCGGCAGCTGCAGCAGCTCGGATGCAGAAGCCACCAGGGTTCGGTGCTTAATCAAATCAAGGGGTGGGGAGCTCGCCAACCCGCTTACTATTTTTAACCCCTTTCTCCAAGTTAGTCATGTGCAGACGCTAAAGGGGAGGTTTTTATTTAGATCCCTTCTGTAGCAGCGTCTCTTCAGTTTTAAGTCCTCGCGTGAAAGCTTTATCAGCAATCAGCGTAGCTAATACACACGGTATGTGGCTGTTCTTGCGATGCGCTCCTGCTCCTGTATGTTCCTAATGCAGGGCTTTTGTGAGCGCCTGTGGGTAGCTTTGCACGGTCCCCCAGCCCGTGGGGTCTCCCTCTGTGGTTCAGCCTATGTGAGATGAAGGTTTGGGGTCTGGCGTGTACTTGGCCGGCTGAGTCATTTCTTGTTCAAATGAAATGTGGTGGAGAAACTTTTATTTGTCGATAGCCTGGAATGATTCTTAATTTTCTGGATGCGCGCTGGGGAAAAGATCCATCTCCTCTGACCTATAAATGCCCTCAATTTGCTCCTTTATTGCAGGGTATCTCCCTTAGCGGTTAACGTAGGCAGCTCACTCCCCGCACCAATCCTGCATTCATTATTAATTACCCGGAGGGAGGCTGGCTGCTCCGCCGTCATGTTTGCACTTCCTTCTAGACAAATCTGCTCAACTTTTTTGCCTTTTCTTTTTTCTTTTTTTTTTTTTTTAATAGAATATAAAACCGTGAAGAAAAGCGGCGATTTTTAAGAAGACGTCATGCTTTCTGCAACTCCCCTGTATGGCAACGTTCATAGCTGGATGAGCAATGAAAGGGTCCGCATGTGTGGAATTAATGAAGACAGGTAAATATTTAAGCTTCTGGCAAGTTAAGCCACACTGTAATTCTGCAGCGTGAGGTCTCGGAGTTCGCTCGCTTCCCTAATGCCGGAGTAGATAGCTGCCGCCTTGCATCGAGATCAGCCCAGCTTGGAGGGGGAGCGGGGGGGGAGAAACAAGACGTGCCTGAGAGCGGTAGAGCAGCCGCTGATTTACTATTTAACAGGCAACCTGGGTCAGTGAAGCAGGGACGCCCTTTAAAGAGATTACTCCCCAAAGCAGCCTTTAAATGCGCTTTTACAATTAATTTATTATTTCGTATTTGTGAAGGGGAATTAAACCAAATAGCGCACATGTTCTTGCGGTGACTCTGTACGGCAGAGGGGCTCTTGCCTGCAACTTGGCGTTCCCTGCCTTCGGACCAACAGCTTGTCCTGCGAAATAGGGACAGCAGCCTTTCCGTCTCCCACAAGTGAATTTCTCTTCCTCACCACCTTTTCTCCTGC